AAACGTCAGCTCGAATCATATAATTGTGGGAAAATTCTACTACCATTCCTTCATCACCTTAAACGAAATAGAGTGAATAGATCTAATATTACTGATTTACTGGTAGTCTCGAAACTACTTAAATAGGAAAAATAAGTAAAGCAGTTGATTGTTATAGCAAAAATACGTTTGATTTATCGATAATCCCACCAAAGAATGTGATATGGCAAAAGGCCTGACCTTCCTTGAAATTCACATCTGACTTGTGACCCAAGGGTACTCGTGGCAATGTGGCCGAGTGGTCAACGTGTCGAGCTCACATTCTGCACTGTCATGGTTCGATTCCCGCTGAGGGTGTTGATAAGACCGATGTGAGGTCAAAACTGCAGTCCACCCTGGATGAGAGCAGCTTTTTTAAAAGCAAGGTTATGTGTAATTCAATGGAAACGTCAGCTACACTCATAATTGTGGGAAAATTCTACTACCAGTCCTTCATCACCTTAAACGAAATAGGGTGAATAAATCTACTTGGCTTTGCTCTCTTAAAGTTTTTCTTATTCAGGCTGTACTACGATGAAAGTTTGTCCTTGACCTGGTATCGTCGTCCCCAGCAGGAATCGAGCCCATATAGTGCAGTTTATAATTTCAATATTTCTTTGCTTCTACGTCAAACTGCTCCGAGTGCCCTTGGTAGACAGAAATGTCAAGAATGGCCAGGCCTCTCCCATTTCACACAATTATATTATACTTCTAATAATCATTAATTTACAAATATTATAAGCTTAAACAAGTATTTTCACCGACATCGTCACTCGGCGTTGCCACTCTTAGCACTACACTACAAGTCGTCATAGAGGCAATTGAAGTCGATCCCCTGGCAAATGTTCTGCTGAATGGTTGTGGTATCTCTCCTGTCCTGTTGTATTTATCTATCCTATATCATCGCAACACCTCTTCACTATCGCAATATTTTACTTGCTTATTTAAACCTAGTTTTGGTGTGCTCTTTAAGCGGATTTCATGAGACCTATTCACACTCCCCGTTAGTTCTTTCATCCCTCCCATTGTGCTGTGAGTGTTGATTCAAGTCTGTCTTATCATCCAAATTCTACCAGTTTCTCTCTTGCGCCACAGGGTCTCTCTCTGGTTAAATGATCTAACTCAATAATTGCCACCATATCCTTGTTATTCGAAGAGTTCTGTTATTCACTCTATCTCAAAACTATAATAGCATGTCTATTCTAGCCTAATTCTCAAGCTGGATGGAAACATGTCACTCATGGTAAAACCTTTACCTTACGGACAACGTCTGTAATCAAGCCAATTATCCCTGGTCTATCTATCTCTTGTGCTTCTATTGTGCCATGCCTAACACTTTCCTATGCCTTAATCGGCACGTTTTCATTCGAACGTAAGGATGCTTCATTCCAACAGCGTTAGTATTAATATCGTAAAGAAAATTTTTCTTCAACTTCTTATGAGAATGCTCTAGAAAGCTATTTTAATTATTGATAGAGGCTGCATTATATAAGTTTATGCTTGCATACAAATTATTATTTATTTCTCTAAACTAACGGATGCTTAGCATTTTTTTCCTGTTCCAATATAAATCAAAGATATTCAACTCAGTCCGATTACTCTTTCCTTTTCCAGTTCCTCAGAAGCAAGGAGTCACACTTCAGTTAAACACCGGTTGGACTACTTATATGAGCTATGATGGTCAGCAATTATTACATGCCGCAGCTGAGTTGATAGCTGCCCATGAGTTAGGCCACAGCTGGGGTGCTGATCATGATCCTGACTCAACTGAATGCTCGCCAATTGCATCTGGACGTGGCAAGTTTCTCATGTACACTTACTCGGTTTCAGGGTACGCTTCGAATAATGATGTACGTCTTGAGCTTTCTTTCTAACGGTTCACCTATTTTGTCCCTTTATTAGACTCACAAACATTTTACATGCGAGATCTTTTTAAAGGGTAGTTTACTCTAATTGATCCCATAGTTACTACTACTTTCCCCCATATCCTAATTATAGTTACAAATTTTATCTATCGTTATATCTCTTGTACTAGTTTTCCAATAATGATAGTTGTTTGACCTTGTTTTCGCAACTTGGTACTGTTGGCAGGTTGACTTGGAAGAACGCATCTTGTTCAGAGTCCAAAG